AATATTCAGGGGAACAGAAGATCCTGTTTGATTGTAGCTATGGGCCCTAAGCTAAGAATTAAGCGAACCATTGAGTCCCTGAATTACGATGTATTTGAGAAACTGACAAGGGCACTTAATCAAGAAATCTCTACGATTGGCAGCTATCTCGATTTAGCAGGAAGGCTGAACTGTACGGTGGTGGATGTACAAAAATTCGCACTCGAGAGAAATCCAACCTTAGCTTTACTTGAGCATTGGTGCTCGTCAAAATGTGGGGCGGAAAAGACAGTTACTATCTTAATGTCCCATTTACAAGCTATAGGAAGAGATGACTTAGTTGAATTTTTACGACCACATGAATATGAATACATCGACAATAGTAAGTTTCTTTGTAGTATTCTGTACAGCGTTGCAGTACTTAATATGAAAGAGTTTGCTGAATAAGCTGCTGGCTAGAAGTCTAGGAATTGCATGTCTAGCTATAAACCTATAGTCAGGAATTTTTTTTCAAATACAGACGAACCAAACGTAGTAAACAACGTGAAGTTATAAAGCTTTTGATAAACAAACATAGATATGCCCTAAATGTAATACGCCTAGGCACAAACATGTCATGATATGCCTGTTCTTTTGATATCATGGATATGTCCTACCTGCCCGCGTTGATACACACGAGGTCAATTTTACGTTTTGAAGCATGTTAACTTCGAATATTGCCAGTTTTGTAACGTCTTCAGATTGCAACACAGTGAATAACATTCGGATAACATTAATCTCAAACCGACAGACATGTTAGATACTATAGGTAACATATGCTGTTCTAAGTGTTCTGTCACTTGTCAAGATGTAAACTTGTGAAAAGTGAATTGATAAATAACAAGATTTTGCTGCTAGGGCTTGTGGGTGGAAATTATCAAGCGTACATTTATATACATTTACTAGACCTAACAATTAGGAAGAGCGATAATGCAAGACTATACTGTAGATCAAACTATAGGTTCAATAAATGTTTATACATTAACTTTACACTTGATAATTCCTATCTACAAAACCCTTCAACTACTATTAAATTGAGTGAGATGCCAACTAAGTCTTGATTTTTACCCATAACCTTTTTACCCACAACATGCCAGTACCTTAGTATTATTGAAAACGATCGAAACCGGCTGTTTAAATATTTTTCAGCTTAAAATTTAATCTCAAATGTCTCAATAAATACATATGCAAATCTCAATCACGTTCACAAAATTAAGGATTTATGATCTACGACGCGGTCAGCTCGACGACGTCGAGTCAATTTATGTTTGAAATAACCCACAGGAATTTAACTATACTACCTTAATTGTTCAAAGCATGTTTTAATAATCTTACAAATGTTTAAAATGGTCCAAACTACTCCGCTGTTTAGCTGATGTTGCCATTCTGTCAACGTTATAAAACAGCTCCAATGTCGCAACGAACTTTGATATCGCTAGGAAGACGTGAAAATTCTAGTTTGACTTTGTCCCAAGAATGCTAACGTTGTTGACGAAACTTTTGAGACTACAAATTATTCATCCCTTTTGTCTCGCATGACGTATTTCTTTGTCTTGCAAGCGCGTCCTTGAGCTGGGCATATTGTAAACACTGGACTGGACTAGGTTTGGATTGGACTTGGGACTGGACTTGGGACTGGACTTTGGACTGGACTTTGGACTGGACTTTGGACTGGACCTTGGACTGGACTTTGGACTGGACTTTGGACCGGACTTTGGACCGGACTGTTGACTTAAACTTTTCTTTTTACAGTAAGTTTTCGTATAATCCACATAATTATCGTTAGAAACAACGAAAAGGAGCTCGATAATCCAATAGAACAACTTACGTCGTGTCTGCACGATCATGCATGCCAATATCATTCCCAGAGCGTGCCCGTTCGCAGGTTAGCGTGGGTTGTACGCATGCTCGGCAGTTGTTGCAAAATATAAACAAAGTATTTCGAAAATTAGAATTTCTCGTGGAAAATCTGATACTTTTTAAACTCAAATGAATTGAAAACAACTAAAAATTATGGGGTAAATATGTACGAAAGATCGGATTGATAGAGATACAACTAAGGCCCGGTTTAGACGCCGTGCTTTTCATGAGCCGAACTTAATTCATATTTTACTCGAGTAAAATAGGCGTACTTCCAATTTTGATTTAGACAGGCGTGCTTTTCATGAGCCGTACTTAATAATTTGCGCTGCTTCACTTCGAAACCTGGGGCGAGTGACAATTCATAATAAGAAAAA